GTTTGTAATCTTAGCTGACAATGAAAAAATTTGATAAATAGTAGATCTATCATTTGGTGTTAAGAAAGATCGAAAACGGCTTATAATTCTGCAAAAGGAAACTGCCAGAATATGAAAGATCTTTCAAACAATCTTTTGCAAGATTTTTGAGTTCGGTGATCTGTAAGATCTTTGCCAAAATTGACATGTAATTGTATTGATTAATTATATTTATTTTTAATTGTTGAATTTCAGTAATTAAGATTTAATTGGAAAGCTTTCTGTCATTTACTTGGGATACAAATATTTAAAGATTTGTTCTTAAACACAAATTCTTGAAATATCTTGATTGCGAATCGGATAGGAAAAAAATTTATAAAATTTTGTCGAAGATATAGGACTTTCCACTTTATCAGAAAATCTTTTAAAAAAAGTTTTAGCCAAATCGAAGGTGATAAAGTCGAAGGTGTCAAAATCGAAGGTGTCAAGTTTATGCTGATAAGAACTATACTGTAGTAAGGTTTATGAGTGATATATAATGTATGATTTATAAACGATCGCGAAAATACTAACTTTGTTGGTCAACTGTGGATTCTATCAAAGCAATAAGTGTATTTATCAAATATTAAGAAAAATTCTTAATTGAAATTCATGAAATTGGATCTAACCATCTCATTGGGTATAAGCTCACCGCATTTTCATTGAGTAGTTAGGATATGGAGTTAGGAGATGTACGTTCTCAGTTTGTTTGCAGTATCAGTAAGATTCGAATTGTAACTAATAACTGCCATCCATATTCATCTAATTTAATATTTTGTATTTGATCATTTTAAAGATCTGTATTTATCGCTATGAGTTAAGTGGTTTGTAGTCGAATAGATCATCCAAAAGATTGATACTTAATGATCTGAATGACTATCACAGCAGACACAAAAGTTATGCTTCTCTTCACAAGAGTCTCGAAATATTAGCATTATATCTGTGTGAGATCTACTTTATTTTTACAAATCTCAATAGATGGCGTCACAATTAATTACTATCTTTAAAAAACCGCTTTTTTTTATAACGCACTGTGTAAATGCATTATTGTGATCAATCTTTTTTTTATCAATAATGTTGCAGTTAATCGAGTTTTATACAGTAACGCAATGGCTAAAAGGCGTAAGTGTTTAAATCATCATTATACTATAAACTACACTAATCAATGATGGTTAGCATCTCTAAGTTTTAGTAAGATAATTGCTTACAGATAAAAAATTCCTTATGAGCAACAGAGAATATACAATACGTATTACGTTTCTATTTATAGTACTTTAATCTACGCATTTTAAAAGTATATTTATTGGTTTATTTTTAAAATTTCAACCTGAAAGATACGTGTTAAGGTAGAAAGTATTTATTTGACTTGAACTCAAATTAATCACACTGCGGTGAAATGATTCATTTCCGTTTGCCACTGCGGATTTTATTTAATATTTTGGAAAATTTTATCTTTTCCGATTTTTAGATATTTTTATCACTTTCATTGTATACACTAACTACAATAAATAAAGTGTAATTTTAATCTACGTGACTAAATTCAATTTGAAAATTGTGAAATATAATTATTGTTTGTTTTGCTAGTTTTCAATTATCTTTCTTTTATTGTTAAAGTTAAGAGAATTATAGTTACAGTTAATTTTTTTGTTTGTTTTTAGCGTTTTTGAGATATAATAACAACTAGCTAACAGATACATATATATCTGGCTTACAGATTGTGAGCTGATATATTACTAATATTTTCTGTAAGTGTATTTCTTTGAGTTTAATTGGTCAAGGATTTTAATAATTCCTTTTTATTTTACCATATTAATTAAAGTTAGAAAGTTTGGGAAGGAGTGCCATGAGACAACAGTGTAACAATGTTATTTAGCGTGGACACCTGCCATGAAGACTTAAGACCACGGTGCTCTACAAACACATGTATCAAGATAATTCGCCGATAAACACCCCATTGGAAACTCTAATGAATTTCCGCCGGTTCCAAATAAAGTTATGTATATTGAACATAACTTCCTCCTTGGTAAGGAGCGAGGTCTCTCAATACCTCTGCTGATCTTTGGATCCCAGCATCCGGTGATGAATACGCAATTTCGAATGAGTGATAAACAAATACCGATCATTCTTTCCACGTAAGTTTGAGTATCAACCACAGCCTCTACAACGCTATCACTTGGGCAGGGCAGCTAAAGCTGGGCGCAGCTGATCCCCGTAGTAGCAGATTTACATCTCCGGTCATGTGTCGCAAGTGCCACTTACTACCATGCACGCTCCAAAACACTGTCGGCATACCGCCGGGATTTTAGTCGCCTTTTACGATAGGCATGCCTACCTCTAGAATATTCTAACCACTTACCCGCAGGGGAAAGTGCCATAAGACAAAGAAAGACTAAAGGAGCAACAACCCGCAAGTTTTATAAGTTTAGATTAGGTTAGATCTGTCATAAGTCACACATTTACATCCTTGTGATAACATCCTTATAGATTTAACATATTTAATTAAGTCAGCGTTTTTTGGCAATATTTAGAGTATTTAAAGCTCCATTTCTAAGACGAATCCATTAGGCATATTTAAATATTTTTAAAGCTTATTTTTTGATGAAACCTGTGTTTTTTTGAAAGACCCTGTTTTCTCTTAGGACAATCGATGAAATAGTCTATAACTATTTGCCTACTATAATAGCAAATGATATGTACTCTAAATTGGCTTATTCAATATAAGTTGAAGCCATTATAAGTTTTACGAATATCTAAGTAGCATAACTATAGCATCAATGGACTTATAAGTTTATTATAATTAGCATTACTAATAGCCACTTAAAATAAAAAATGATTTGTATTCTATATTGGATTATCCAAGATTAGACGAAGTGTTGAGCATAAATGTAGCATCAATAGACTTATAGGTCTATAATAATCAGCATTACTATTAGCCGATCTATTCAAAGATTAATATGGGCTTATCCAATATGAGATGAAGAGTGTTAAACTAAATATAAAACAGCCCCTATAGGAATCACGAATATTTGTATCAGCATCAAATCAAAGATGCAGCTTCTGTGATATAGAAACGAAGTCGCTAGATTCATATGGAAAAAATTATCACTGTTACACAATACACGCAACTATCTGTCATCATACTTAACATAAAGCAAGTAATTATCTTAGCTAAATCTAGCCAACATATTTGACTTCTTGAGAACAGCAGGACTGGATAAATTTTTATAGGATGGCCAATATAGTAATAACTGTTAGTACAATATAACTTATAGTCGTAGTGAATTAAATATCTCTGATATACATTATATCATGGCAGATGTGATTTAAGAAAGTAGCGACCAGAGAAGTTATTAAACTTACTTGTAAAGATCAAAGGTTTTGTTATTGACATGTTACATATATTATTATTATTATTATAAAAAATGTAAATCTTTAAATTATTGTGAAAATAATAAATAAGCAAAAGAACTTAACTTTTGTTAAGTTATTCCTTTCAACAATTGTGATGTTAATATTGAATGTTAGTTGCAGTAAAAATTATTTTCTTTCATAACAAAATGATAAGTAACTTATATTATAAGCAACTTTAAGGACTTACGAATTC